GTACTAGTAGCACCAGCATGTGGGGGAGTGGTCGAGCACCAGACCGTTGACCTGAGTGTCTGGCCCGGTGTGTTCAATGTCAAAGTCAGGTCAACTGGTTGGACGTGCCCAGTGACAACAGAGGCCTGCGGGGAGCTTGGTGCTGATGCCTGACGCTGGAATAGACTCGACTGGACGGTGCCCCCTACCGCACAGTGCCGTGCCCTCCACACGAAGGCTGGCGAAAGCCGCGGTGCCGCAGCGAAGCCAGGGGTCCGGCACCTTGGTGAGCAAGGGTCTCGATTTCTGGGCGGCACCCCCAAAATAGACGTTAGTGGACACGTGGATGGCGGTGGAAATGGCTGCGCGTGTGGAAGTCGTTTGAAAGACGCATGCGGCCTGGACGGGCAGAAGGCTTGACAAGAGGTTGGAAAGAAAACTAAAAGCAGAAGCGAACAGATGACAGCGGGTTGTCGGGAGCAAAATATCGTCAGCAGCGGCCAGGATACCAAGAAAGACAGGACGCAAGGGGTTCAGGGAATGGGAGAAATGGGAAATGGGAAATGAGCCGATCGTCACGGCGAGCAAGTTGCCTGAGGCTTGACGATGGTGAAGTGTGCGCATGTGCTCGGATGTGATGAAGGACGTGGTGCGGGCCCGTCTCATACACCAGTTGACGCTTTCGAGGCGTTCCACGACATTGTAAATGGCCAAGCAACCGGAACCAAACGCACGTACGCGGTACGGAGTACCTCGCCAACAATCTGTGTGCAGGCCTGCAGTCAGGTACTCCAGTACTCCAGTACTCCGTACATCATTGACGGCTCCAGCGCCACGGCTGAAGTGAACACACTGAGGCCGCCCCTGAGACACCAGGCTCCACTGCGGACATGCGGGCCCTGGGGTGGCGCCAAAGCCTAACGTCATAAACTTCTGTCAAGTTTACATGACAATACGGACTGGACACTGGAGCACTACGGAGTACGTACGTATTAAAGTGCTGGTCTAGTATGTGTACGGAGTAGTCTGTTGTAGCCTCGTCGTACAATGCCATTGAACAGGCCGGAATGATGAACGAAATACACCACACTTATTTCAAGACGACGGCCAGGGAAAAGGTGGCCAGGGCTCCATGTCACAGGCCAGCGTTGACTCAAGGGAAGTGTCAAGTACTGTCGACTTGGTGTAACTTCCAAATTGTCTGCTCAAACGGCAGTAATTTATGTTTGCTACCAATAGGAAATAGGAAATAGGACCGTACTCTGTGCCATTGGCCTCACAGCCTTCGGCAGAGATGGCGGATTTCCATCAAGCGAGCGGATCAATAATTGAGCTTTGATGCCAGCCGCTTCAAGCTGCCGAGCACATGGCCTGGCGAGAGCACTAAGCCCCCTTAAGCGATGCCGTCGACGCATGTTCCGATCTCAAGCGCTATTTTAAGCCGCGGCCCGCTGCTTCAGACTCCAGATGTCCAATGTTGACGGCACACCAGCACCAACATTGCATGCACCGGCGCTTGAGACTCAGATGATGGCATGCTGGGCCCCATTGCTCTGTCATGGCAAGGCTGGCGACCCTGGACCTGGTGTCTCGACATCAAGACGCCTTGCCGAGCCTCGTACTCATCCCTTGAGCTTGGCGCGCCTTCCGCCGTGGGAGAAGGGCCAGCAATTTTCGCGCCCAGCCGCCTACTAGTACTCCGTACTCCGTTAATACTACCTAGGTAGGTATGTATGTACTCGGCTCGATGCTGGTCATGTTAAGGCTGCAGGGTGGCCGCTTCAATGCTCGCTCCACAGCAACCTCCATGTCGCGCAATGCTGCTGCCAGCCCTGGTCATCGCCTTATTTAGGGCTGCAATATAATAATACAGCTCTTAATGGCTCTGATCCAATAAGCGCGCTACTCCGTACGGGCGCCTGGTTCTCAATACGAGGACCTGTCATTCCGTAGTCGATGTCTCATTCCAAAAACTGGGGCCGTAAATAAATAGCATTGCTCGGCCTCGTATTGAGTTGACTTCAATTGCCGCCAGAATTCAGTGACAAGCGAGCTTTCAAGCCAGGTTGAAATATTTACACGGACAGCCAAGAGTACATACGTATACTTATCAAACCACATTCAGGTCGACATTACTCTTAATGTACTATTTTAGGATTTAATAACCCTTACAAACAGTTATCCAGGAGCTTTACAGTGGCGAGGACTCACAAGAGGTTACGTTACAGCGTCTGAATAGTAGAAGAGGCGGAGGTATCGGAGAGCAAGACAATGAGGGTGGACTCTTGGGGGACGCGGACGAGGGCAGACCTCGCTGATATACGTTATGTGTGGCCATTTCGAGTTTTCGGAGCGAGTCACTGGCAATAAGTGCATGTAGGTTTGAGCTGTAATATGTAAAGCTTCAATGTTGCTTCCACGAAGTCGGTGGCTAATGGATATCACGAGATAGCGTTAGTTGGCGTGCCGCGATCAATCACTAATCTTATTAGCGTGTCTGGCGCGTCACGATGCGCGTACAGACGGTGTATTATTTGGTCCCTTGCTGTTTTTTTCTTTTTCTTTTGGATTGGTACAGTACTACAGCCTAACTGTGAGGGACAATGCGAGGGTCTACGATGAAGGCACAAGAGCTCATCATGATGCAACTTGACAAGTGTGTGTTGCAAGAGAGTTAGTAAAAGAGAAAAAACTTGATCATGATAAAGAGGAAAGAGCTACGTAGCTAGAAGGAGCCGGTGTAGCAACAATGATATGGTGCCTCACACGTGACTATGTGAGCACTAACACTAAAACGCTGTATTTCCAGATGTCATACTCGTATTATCATTTGTCATGAAAATAAAACAAGAAACACTTGGTATATCGGTGTATCCTTCTTGGTGGGTAAATATATTCTGTCACAGACCGTACAACCTACAAGGTGCCTACTTACCTAGGTAGGTAGGTAGGTACTTAAGTAGGTACTTAGCCAGGAAAAGCAACACTTCATCTCCGTACTTATGTACTTACATAGGACTCCGTATTCCGTACGGAGTACTCCGTACTTCGTTTACTCTGGGTCCTGCCTTCGGCGTCTGGCCCCACCGTACGTCGCAGCCAGCAAATTTCGATTGACCCACAGCTCATGGAAAGTGCTTGTCGATAAGAGAGCCCTGCTTAGTAACCGCTGATATCCGCAATGGATCGTGGATGCTTCACTTTGGCCCGTTTTGGCGATGCGACAAGTCCAAAACCTCTTGTCCTCTCCGGCCACACTAGACATGTAGATTTGCCTCCTTGGGGCATGGTTCTTACGCTTCTGAGGAGAATGATGGCTGCTGAAGTCAAGAAAGTCCCCATTCCCCGCCGGGGAGTTGATTATCGAGGGAAGATTGTCCTTGCGCCGATGGTGCGCTCGGGCGAATTACCATCGAGGCTGCTGGCGCTTCACTATGGAGCGGATCTCGTCTGGGGTAAGCATGGTTGCCGCTGATCAAATTACAAGTACTGCGGCAAGAAAAGAAGAAGAATCTAACATGGAGTTTCCCAGGCCCGGAAACCATTGATCGCGCCATGATTGGGACGACTCGACGATTCAACCAAGACACAAGGACTATCGAATGGACCCGAATGTCCTCCCAGGGCCACAAGGAACCACCACCAGATGCCAAGGAAAGCATAATTTACAGAGTCTTCCCGGAAAAAGAAGCAAACAAACTCATCTTTCAAATTGGCACCGCCGACCCCGACCGCGCTGTCCAAGCCGCCCGCCTCGTCGCTGCAGACGTCGCAGGCATCGATGTCAACGCGGGTTGCCCCAAGCCCTTCAGCACCAGCGGCGGCATGGGTGCAGCCCTCCTACGGACGCCAGATAAACTCGTTGCGATCCTTGAGGCCCTGGTCAAAAATATCACACCCGAGTTCGACATCGGCATCAGCGTCAAGATCCGTATCCTCGAGACACCCGCCGACACGGAAGCCCTCGTCAGACGACTCGTCGCCACTGGCATCACCGGCTTGACTGTTCACTGCCGAACTACTCCCATGAGACCCAGGGAGCGTGCTATTCGCGACCAACTGCGCATGGTCGTAAATATATGCCACGAAGCAGGCATCGCGTGCATTATGAACGGTGATGTTGAAAACCGCGACCAGGGAATTAAGCTGGCAGAGGAGTATGGCGCCGATGGAGCCATGATCGCCGTTGCTGCTGAAAAGAACCCCAGCTGTTTTCGGAGCGAGGCAGACGGCGGCCTGTTGGGTTGGGAGCCCGTCGTGGAGCAGTACATCAAGTACGCCATGGAAATCAGCAATCGATTCAGCAATACCAAGTATCTCCTGGCGCAAATGATTCCCGGAAAGGCAAAACCCTACAAGACTGTGCAGCAGTCCAAGTCCTACACAGAAGTTTGCAATGCTTTGGGGCTCGAGCACCTCCTCGAGAAGGCGCAGGATTGCGATGTGCAGAGGGGGCTGGACAAGCCAAAGGAGAAGCTGACAAAAAAGGCCAGGAAAAATGCTAGTGCTTTGGCTGCGGGCGGGCAAATGGTTGAGGCGAGAGCGCAGAGCCACCATCGCAAAACGCTGTCTGAGCGAAATGTCGGTTCCAAGGCTGCACCTGAGCCGGCACCCGTTGCAACTGCGGTTTAACGCTGCTTAAATGAGGAACATGGACTAATCGTGTCGCGGTTACGCGGCACAGCATCACTGGAGTTTGGGGGTTGGATTCAAGGCGGCATACGGGGCGGTCTGCTTTGCGCATAGGAACAGCGTCATTCATTGTTTGAGGACTTGAAGGAGGGAATATTCAATTTCCTTCAAATGGGCATATATACCTAGATAGAAGTAGATCTCGCAAATTCATGACTGAAGTCGGTGTAGAAGACAATCAAACATCATCATCACCATTGCGAATGTCGTTGTGTGAATGCGTAGAAACAAAGCAAATTTCAGTGTTTGTTCAAGTCACCTCTTCTCTATTTTGATGGTACAAGTCGGTGGTAGCGGTCTCCATCAGTCCACCTTTTATTTACCCGTGTCTATTTTCCTTGCTTCACCCAGCCCTCTACTGCTTCCCTGGCGTCCGTGACCTTGTCATCCACATACTGTACACCGACCTGACTATGTACTTTTGCAAAGCTAATGCCCCTCCTAAGACCCTCACGAATATTGACATGCGTCTCCGCGACAGCCGGGAATCGTTGCTCATACTTCCACGACAAATCAGAGATATTCCTCATGGTCACGGGCAAGACTGTCCATCCGGCGCCAACACCAAACGCCAGCGGCACGGTGCTCCTCAGCAAGATGTTGCGGTTGCGCGTGAGGATGCTGCCGGCCATGGCTGCGACCAGCACGTAGATGGTGCCGGGCATGAGCTTCTCGCCGGACTCGCGGGAGGGTGCGAGCGAGGCAATCGTGTTGGTGAAGGACTGCTCGAGGTTGAAGGCAGAGTCCATGGTCTCGTTGACCTTGTTTTCGGTGCAGACGGCGAAGCGATACAGGGCCATGCGGGCTTTGCCGATGTGGACGGCGAGGCGGTCCGTCGGCGAGGGGCCTCGTGGCTTCTTTTCCTTCTTGGGCTCTTCTTCGGCGGGAGGCTTTGAGAATTGGAGAGCCTTGATGGGGGCGGCTGGGGCGGGTGCGTCATTTGCGGACGGGGCGTCGAGGTCGTCGTAGATTGGTTTCTTCTGTTGTTCAATTAGTCTTTCGAGCTCTCTCTTCGGCGACTAGATAGTGCGTTGATGCTCTACGGACCTTGTCCACAGGTCCTTCGGCCAGGACAGTCGCAGGGGCGAAAGCCAATCCACCGAGCGCGATTGTGGCCAACGGCGCTAGGGAGCGCTGGAAGCAATTGTTAGCAACCTTGGTCGGTGACTGGGAAGGTCTTGAAGCGTTCTCACCCGTTGCATCAGCACTCTTGCAGCCATTGTCTGTTCAATTGGCCAACCGTCAAGCGGTGTTCAGAGTTGTCGTCAGATGCGGCTATGCTTTGTCGAAACGGCCCGTAGCGGAGCACTTTCCTGGATCCTCCGAGGACTGGCACGTGACTAGGAAAGACGTCACTTCCGCTCCCGGAAGGAAAGCTTCAACCCAGGGAGAGCGGATGCAGGTCTTCAGATGGCATGCCGCCTATTGACAGGCGCGGCAAATTGAATTCAAACGAACCAGATGATGAAAATACTATTGATGCCGCATACAGAGACATATCCGAAAATGATGTCTAGTACAGCATGATACGCTAGGCGGATGGGCGGGTGAGCTCACTTGAGCTGAGGTCAACTGGTCCAATAAAGCAAGCATTCCTCAAAAGGATAATTCAACCTGCATAGCATAATTCATTCAGTTACTAAAGGGGCCAACAATGAAGATTCTGCCTCGTGCATAAATGGCTAGCAGATGATCTGCGCCACAGAAAGAATACATACATATGTATGCCTCAATTCGCGCTGGATAAATTGCAACCCTGGTTGGTCTTTAGCCAGGACATGCATGCCTGGCCGTGGTCAGCGGCCGGTTGGTGCATGTGGTGGATTGTGGTGGATTTCTACGCCCATGAAATTCCCAAAACGACGTTGCCGAGAGCGATCGCTGGCCAGCAGGCGGGAGTTGTGTCGGTAAGTCGGCGAGAGTTTGCTCCATCAAATATTGTCAAATTAATTTGCAACGATTATAGTAGAAATAATACATCAATTAGAATACTGCGCATCATTTGCCCTCTATGTCTCCCATGCATCCATTCGACAGCTTACCATGGCATATGTATCTCACGTGAAAACCCGTGGCTCCCGGTCACACATCTCGACCCGGCCGGCTGAACGGACGGCGCCGCCCCGTCTCGGCGCAACCGGACATGTCAACTGGTCAGACCAGGTGGCCAGGCTGCTCGGCGTTGGTGTTGGACAGCACATGCAGCCCTTGAAGCACTCATGTGCTCCCTCGAGCAGGGCGAAAGTGGGTCCCGATGCACCTAAATGCGCCCGTCGTGCGCTATATTTCTCCCCCCACCCCTTCCTCCCCGAGAGCCACCACTGCAGAGGCACTGCAGAGGCACTGCAGCCAGTACTGTTGCGTGCATTAACCGAAAGTTGGCGACCGGGGGGGCGTCATTACCGCAAAACTCCGTACAACTTTGCTGTTCTACTATCCCCAGAACGGGAGTCGTCGATTCGTCTTTCACTTCTCTTCTCTTCTCTTCTCTTTTCTGCTCTTCTCTTCTGTACTCTTTTCATTCCAATTGCACGCCCGTTCCTTCTTTATCCCCTCTCCAAAGTCTTTCTTGTACTTACATACTAGCCCACGTTTCACAACACCGTCTCGCATGCCTTCGACTCGAATTCCTTGACGACGCTGTTCCCCTGGTCAAGTCACTCGTTGTCCCAACATGCTCAACTCCAGTAGCCATCGTCTCTGGATCTGCACCAGATGCGTCCGTCGCGTGACCTGGCCGGGGACGACGGCGACGTCGATACTTCAACAGCGGCGATGGGAGACCACAGCTGCCGCAGAGGCTACACGTTCCTCAGCCCCTTCGGACCACCATGTCAGTTCTCGACATGACGACGCCGTCCTTCGCGATCTTTTCGATGCTCCGTCCGGTGGCCTGTCGTTTCCAAGCTTCAGTCTAAAGAAGAGTCAGGGCCTTTTCAAGAATCGATACCTTACAAGCCCCGACGGATTCTTTGTATTTGCCCAAAAGAACCTCGAGAAAGCTACACGTCTTGTGCAAAGAGTTCTCAGCGCCTCAACAACCGAGGATTACCAGGGGGTAGTCAAAGACCTAGATCGGTTGAGTGACTTGCTTTGTCGAGTCCTCGACATGTCCGACTTTGTACGCACGACACATCCCGATGTTCGCTTTCAACAGGCTGCGGCAGGTGCCTGGTCCATGGTGTACCAATATATGAATCAATTAAATACCATGACGGGTCTGAATGATCAACTTGGTAAGGCGCTTTCGTGCCCTGAAGTTACCTCTGCCTGGTCAGATGAGGAGAAAACCGTTGCCGAACTGCTCAAGCTGGACTTTATGAAGTCGGCCGTCAACTTGCCCAAGAGGGCAAGGGATCGGTTCGTTGAGCTTTCATCTCGCATCAGCGACGTTGGCTCTGCCTTTGTACAAGGCATGGAGCCCGAGATCAAAGAAGTCATGTTGCCATCACATAGATTTTACGGTCTGTATCCTGGTCTGGCCGCCACCCTCAAGATTCGGTCTCAGATATCCATTGCAACGACGGGTCCTGAATCCGCTGCTGCTCTTCAGAGTGTGTACGACGAAGAAACGCGCAAGGAGATCTACCTGGCGCAACGCACGGCATCTCACTGCACCATTGAACGCCTGGAGTCGATGCTGAAGCTTCGCGCAGAATTGGCCGAGCTCGCAGGGTTCGAAAGCCATGGGCACATGGCCCTCAAGGACAGAATGATGGCCAAGTCGCCGGCCTCGGTTATGAAATTCCTCCTCGCTTTGCGCAACCACAACGCCCCCATCGTTCAGCAAGAACTTCTTGAACTGACGGAAAAGAAAAGGGAACGTCTTGCCATGCCTGAAGTGGACCTGCAGGCTTGGGATAGAGACTTCTACATGGAGAAAGTACGGGCGGAGATGCGCTCTCGCGTCCGTCACGAAGACCAACTAACAGCTTTCTTTTCTGTGGGCACCGTCATGCAAGGTCTGTCACGACTCTTTGATCGGCTCTATGGGGTACGCTTCGTCCCGCGCGAAGCCTTGCCCGGAGAAGTGTGGCATCCAGACGTCAAACGATTAGACGTCATGTCGGACGACGGAGAACAGCTCGCCGTTTTATACTGCGACCTGTTCTATCGTCCCCAAAAGTCTCCCAACCCAGCACACTTCACAGTCAGATGTTCTCGTGAGATCCTCGCCGACGAACTCAACGAAGCAACTGAAGACATGGTCTCGGCGACACCCATCTTTGACACCCCCGAATCCGCTGCCAACGACGGTATGGAAACATCCCAACGTGACGGCAAACTCAACCAACTACCCACCATTGCTCTGGTCTGCGATTTCCCCAAGAACAATTCGGCCCGTGAGCCCGCCTTCCTATCATATTACTCTGTAGAAACACTCTTCCACGAAATGGGCCACGCCATTCACTCCATTCTCGCACGGACATCGTTCCAAAACGTCTCGGGAACCCGGTGCGCCACCGACTTCGCCGAACTGCCATCCACCCTCATGGAACATTTCGCAGCTGATCCCACAGTCCTCTCCCTCTTCGCCCGCCACTGGAAGACGGACCGCCCCCTCTCGTACGACCTTGTCCAGGAGCGCATCACCCTCTCTAAACGCTTTGAAGGAATCGACACGGAGCACCAAATCATTCTTGCAATGCTCGACCAAGCCTACCACTCTCCCCAAGTGAAAAGCCTCTCGTTTGACTCAACCCGCATCTTCCACGAAATCCAGCACACATTTGCCCACGGGCCCAAAGACCCCCCCGGAACAAGCTGGCAAGGCTTCTTTGGCCACTTGCACTCGTACGGAAGCACGTACTACAGCTACCTCTTTGACCGGGTTCTTGCAGAGCGTGTGTGGCGGGTTGTTTTCAAAGGCGGCGATGACCAAGCCGCCATAAGTAGGGAGAACGGCGAGCGCCTGAAGCAGAAATTGTTAAAATGGGGCGGGGGTCGAGATCCCTGGAGATGTCTGTCAGACACATTGAATGATGAGAGGCTGGCTGCTGGCGATGAGGAGTCGATGGCTCTGGTGGGTAGCTGGGGTATAAAGGATCACCATCAAATTTCGTACAGAAATGCAGATTCCCCCCGGAGCGCACGTGTCGCAATCCGTAATTCCGTCTCCTGATGAGAATGCATCGGTTTTTGGAAGGTTGAAACACACGTCTCATTGAATTGGTTTGAGGCATTCAGTATCAGCCGATACCAGCACGCTGACCGGGGGGAGGGGAATCGGGTCTTTGCCTTTCAAACCCGACATTGTGAGAAGAAGGCTCTCACTTGACAGACATGTCCAGGGTCCAAATAGTTCAAAAGCTCGTCCTTTCTTATACGTAGGACCATAATCGTGCTACGTTCCGGAGTTTATTGCAGTATATTAATGTGTACTTGTCAATAGGCGAGCTTCATCTTGCCACAGACACTACACGAGGCGGAATCATGACATTGATGCCCTCATGCCGTCTTCCATGGTATGATATGATGCATTATCTGATCGTGGGGCAACGAAGCACACACCCGCATGCAGAACCTATGAAGTCATTCAGTTACGAATACAATTCAGCTTGATCAAATTTCGAGTTCAAAATCATTCATATTCTCATAAACATCTTGCCATGCTACTATCTTACAGGGGTATATTAGTTCTCCATATCCGCCTTGATCTTCCATCTCCTTCATCATTCAATAAACATGCAATTCCGACCGCTCTTTGCTCGTCAAAACAAACCACCCAGGAAAACAAGAAGAAAACTTCATAATTGTTCCAACTTATACAGCTTTCGTAGCAACTTGCGGCATCGTTGTCAACGGCTGCTTCATAGTCAGATGTGACAGAGATAATTTCCTGCCGTTTGACAACATGGGGTCATTCTCGTTGCCGTACATGTCAAAACTGCTTTTGCTAGTCTCAACAGGCGTGACGAACGATTCCGTATACTCCTTATCCGATCCATCTTCTGCCGTCGTTCCAGAATCTTCCATGCCTAAACTGGTAAACCCAAATCTAGGAGCTGCAAAATGTCGCCGCTCATCGTCCTCATCATCATAATCAAAAACCGACACCTCACCAAGGGACCTGTCAAGTGACGGGGACTCACTTTGATCTGCGTTGGTGTATACCATGCTTTTGCTCATAACCTGGATTTGACGTCCCAAACTTCTCACCTGGGCTTCAAGAGCCTCACGTGCTGAACGCTCCGTTTCAAAGAGAGCCATCAGGTTTGTG